ACCTAAGGAAACAATAAGAGAACTGTCACAAAAGCGTTCTTTCAGGACCCTATGCAGACAACACGATCCGGGGTAGAGTGGGGGAAAAAGCATGCGTGAGTCGGGAATGAAAACAGGGGACGTGTCCATGGTGCGCTGGTGTTCGGGGGAGGTGTGCCCGAGGCAAACAATCCAGGAATAAGTCCAAGAGAGAATCCAAAAGGAGGCAAAAATCCAAAGCCGGGCTGTCCATCCAAGACAAACGGGGTTAAAAACAGGAACCGGGTCGAGACCGGAACGAGAACGGGAACAGGAACTAAAACCTTAATGGGATCTGGCGCTTCCAGGTCCTGGACTCACCTGGTACGGAAACCAGAGCAGAGCCTGGAATAGAGTGAGTGTCTGGCTTTTAAGGAGAACTGAAAAGGGGGTTGGAACAGGGAGCAGGTGCGGTGGATGAGTAGAAATCAAGGAAGGGCTGGAGCGTCCTTAAGAGGAGGGGTTTACAAACATGACAAGAACAACATATACCAAAAGATTGGGGTAAAATGGTCTGCTTCACCATTTTTTTGGATTACTAGCATGATTGTGACACTTTTCTACTATAAGTGAATTAGTTACAGTGATGAGAAAGGATAACAGCTTAACTTGTTCTCCTTAACAAATTAAGCTGTAAAGCTGTACTTGGGGCTGGACTGCTGTCTGATAAATCATGTTAGGATACGTATGTGAACTATTACTTGAATTTGGGAACAGGTTGCATTTTACAATAATTCTCTGTGTTCACACAAGCCAATATATTTAATGTACAAGCATACTAAGTTCCTACAGTATGTCGGGAATTACAGACATGTTCCTCGTCTTTTCTAAAAGTACATAATTTTAGGTTGCCATCATATTTAGACTAATACCTGTGGTTTACTTTAAAAGGGTGTGGGAAGGTGGCCTCTAGTTCTGGCTCCTAGTTTTAGGCACAAGAGGGCGCCTAAAAGTCCTCATAATTCGAACATCTTAAGCACTGTCCAGGAATTTACTCATGCAAACAAGAGGAAACGGTAGTGCAAATGGAGATTCTGTCACGGATGTCGGAAGGGACAAACCATGGAGAGGCAGGAGAGCGGAAAAAGACCCATATGTGTAGCGGCGGAATGGGGGGTTTAGTCCTGGCTCAGCAGTTCAGGAGTCATATAGGAACCAAAGCCCTCAGGCAGCAGACGTGGGGCGACCTGGTGCTAGGCGGGTCTCAGGACATCCGAACGTCAATGCTGAGCGAAGGAGAATCAGTGACCCGGAAATATATAGCCCCAGAGAGAGAGACACCGGAAGGACAGCAAAGCACTAGGGACAGGACAGAGTAGGAGCGCCCTCTAGCTTCAGAGGATGTGACAGGCACAGTCATTTAGCATTGCTTCCTTGCAGGGCTGGAGCCCTGGGTTGAATTCCAGACCTGGGGTTCCATCTGCATAAAGTTTGTATGTTTTCCTTCTTTTGTGTGGGTTTATTCCAAGGGCTCTGGTTTCCTCCCACAGTGCAAAGACACACTGGGAGTTTAATTGGCTCTGGCGTGAGTGTGGGCTTGTTTAGTTTCTGTGCCCAGAGATGGACTGACGTCCTGTGCGGAGTGTATCCCGCCTCTTCCCTGCTGCCTGTCATCAACCCTGAATTAGATGAAGCAGTTAGAAAATGGTTGGGTGGATGGTTTGCTGGTGGATGATTCTAAATTGATCCTGTACAATTATTTTTTTATGTCATCTGGTAGAAGGTCCTGTTCTGCACTGTAGATATAACTCTGTTAAGAATCTTACTTGAGAAAAAAGAAGAATTTGTACATCATACTCAAGTATTTTATTTATAATAAAAACATATGATCATTTTTAAAGTAACTCTCATGACTTAAGTAAAAAAAACTTCCCAGGAAAAGAATTAAAATGCCATATTTCTTATAAATAGTAAATAGTGTTAGAAAACGATTAGTGTGAACAATGCATGAGTGATGAACTAAATATTTCAGTTCTTTTCATTAGCCCCCTGCTGTTTGACTGTAGGCATTGAGACAAGGTTAATTTAGTTAGGGGAAAAGTTAATTAAACTGCTTTTTGAGAGAATTTTCACAGATCAAACTACGGGATGAATCTTGCAGTTAACTAAAAACAACAGGATGTCCTATATAGAGCAAATTGAGACTATTTTAATGCACGTTTCTTTATTTAATGACATGCTATCTGCACAAATATACATAAAAGAAGTTTTATTTTGCCCTGCATTATATTATAAAATGTTCGTCAAGCAGTACTGAACCTTCTTAGCACTGTGCATCATTCTAGTGATTAATTAAAACTGCGAACTGTTATCTGTGGTTCCATTTGACAATATGTCAAAATAAATAAGGGTTCAAAAACTGATGAAAGTAATTTCTTTTGTCAATCTTTTTATTTCCCTCACCTCACATCCTTTCATTCACATTCTTAACATTAATTAAAAAATGTTGGTATGAAAACCTACTTTAGAATTGCTAGGAGAAAATAATTAGGAATAAAAATATCTGCACTTTGATACTTTGATTTCAGTGTGTGCATTACCCGCATCCTGTATACAAGAAATGTGTCCAGAAGAAATAATGGGCTATATGGCCTGTTTCCGTACTTTTTCTCGAAAACGCGCAATGAATGGTCATTTGAATGCTTCCCTCAACTGAAAAAAACACATATTCCTACACTTATAACAAATAGATCTGCTCATACTGGTGTTTCAGAATGTAATTGAAAATAATTATACACGCCATTACACAATCATCCTGATTAAAATACGTAGATATAATACATATAAATTCTAAAACCAAAGGTTCTTTTTAACATGCTATAATGCTATAATAAAGTCCCAATGCCACTAGTCTGACACTTTTTTTAGAAGAAATGTTATTTTTAATAACAAAAAGCAAAAGTTCTGAAATTCTAATCTGGTTAACAGCGGGGATGGTGAGAGGTAATTAATTGAAAGCACGGACCAGTTTATTACTTTGACTTTTCAGATCAACATCCTGGCAGAAAAGCATCCAGTACTACTCCGGTGCATTAGGTGGCGCAAAACGTAACTGAAATGCGTTTCGTGTTAAAACACAGCGCTGCTTAGTTCCTTATGCAGAATGAAGTAGGGCGAAGGTGTTGTTTCACCATCCTCATTAATCCGTTTTGTGTAAAAGTAAGTTTAGTTGGATCTGTAAAAAATGGCATTAAGGTTCGTGTTTCCAAGAGGTCGGAGAAAAACAAAATGTAATATGTCACGTAAGAACTTCACAGCAGAGGCTTTTCCATGCAAGACCTCTGCCATGATAAGGTAGGTGAGCCATGTGCGGGAGTAGAAAGTTAGAAATAACCCAACGGAAACAATGTTCACAATAAACTATGCCTTCATAGTAATTTTAAGATACGGTACATATTCAGAACAGCTTGATCTGGCCATTTTGTCAGGTATACTGTACTATAGAACCATCTGTTGACTTGAAGTTGTGGCAGAGTCTGCATTGTATTTTCAATATTGTGATTTAGCGAATTTATTAGTATTGCCAACCTTTAAGTTTTATGTCGTATTCGGCTGTAAATATTAGTCATGCACGAAAATGAAAAGTCTAATGGCAGTGTATAAGGACGATTACTTGGAAAACTATTTTCTTTTCTCCGTTCAGAATGACACATTATTCATTTATTTTTAATCGAATCATTTTTTATTCCCTCAAGGTATCGCCTTAAGAAAAAAAGCAAGATGAACATAAAGGGAAATGTTTAGCAGGTAATGTTTAAATATACTTACCATCATAATAATGCAATTGAAAGTGATGGCTTTGTGTGCTATTGTGAAACCAAATACGAATGTAAATGACATTTTTACAGATTTTCAATTAAATGTTAATGTTATTACTAGGACTGCATTTAAAGTCCAAAATAATGTAAAGGAAAAATACTAGAGCTTCTGTTAGTGAGGGAAAATTCTCTCTCTTTAGTGCATTATTGAAAATAAAAAGTTGTAATTATAAAATATTAAAGCTGTTAGCATTTACGACTGCTAGAGCAGTGTCGAATGAAGGTACGATATCTATTCTTGATGCTGCTCACATGTAGATCAGTCCATGAAAGCCAACAGGTTTTGTAGCTCCAGGATCTTCTGCAGCCTGAGGCCTGCATTACATCCACCAATTAGCATTGGTGGTTAAGAGCCATGGTGGCACACTGCCTTGCAGTGCTGGGGTCCTGAATTCAATTATATGCGTGGAGTTTGTTCTCCCTGTATTCATGTGGGTTTTTTCTGGGTGCCCTGATTTCCTCCCATAGTCTGAAACATTCTGGTAGGTTAATTGGCTTCTGGGAAAACTGGGCTTGAGTGTGTTTGGTCTGTGTGCCCCTGTGATGGACTGGCATCCTGCGCAGGGTGTGTCTGTCCTTGCACCCATTACTTGCTGGGATAGGTTCTGACTCCCCTGCAAGCCTGAATTGAAAATAGTGGTTAGAAAATGGATGGATGAATGCAGGGCCAAGCTGAAACAAAACCAGGTACTGCAAGACCAGGATTGAGAACCACTGCGTTTGAGGGATTTGAGGGAATGAGAGTCAGCTTCACTCATAGTCTTCTCTGTTTGAGACTAAGAAAGTTCAGTGGTTTTTTTGGTGCAGGACTTCCCTTTAGTCCCCAGAATGTGTGGTTGCTCTTCTCTGGACATGTACCAGAGCGGCAATATCTTTTTATAAAGCGGTAGCTACAATTCTACACGATACCTCATTTTGAATATTACTTTATTTTTTTACAATTACTGTTATAAATGCTTTGAGATGCCACTTTTAAAGGTGGTATATAACATAAAGTTTTAAATTATTATACAATTTACACGTGACATCTCTTGATATACATTCTACACTTTAAACAGTGTATTCTAACATTTTATTTGCCTGTTGTTTCCTTTTTGCCTATTCACTACTTCATCCAGGTGGGGCTGACATTGATGGTGGTGGAGGGGAGGCCACATTACCTGTAAAGCACTTTAAATGGAGTGTCCAGAAAAACAGTATTTAAAGTGTAAGCAATTATTATTAATTATTTATTAATTATACTTTTTTGTTTCATGTTTCTATGCCGTTTTGCTACTACAGGTCATTTACAGTGAGAATTACAGAATGAGCATGTTTTTTTTTGTTTCCTGCATTTTTTTTAATTTAACATTGCATTTCAGGGCATTTTAGCACTCATTTCTTTTTTTAGAAGCTAAACATGTGAAACTAAAATAACAGTGGAAGCTAGGAGTTTGTTTTGCTGGAGAGTGCAGAGTGCAGAGCATATTTTGGATTTACAGTATATCCCTCTAGGTTTCTCTTCCACGTTACCATGGGAACTGTGTTCATAATGGCAGATTCCCTTCCTAGGCGTGGGACAGCAAGTCCTTGTTCCTGACAAGTTTTTATCATGTTGTGTTATCATGTGAAGTGGCAGAAGAACAAGGAACATTTTCTCATTCTATATAATTTGCTTAAGAAGTCTACAGAGTGATAAAGTATAACAATAAAGTAGACTTATCCCAAATGTTGTTAAAAGTTGGTTTACTATTATCACTACTTAAGTTACAGTCAGGAAACAAAGTTTATGAACCCAAATATAATTATGGGAATTAGAATGTCTTGACGTAAAATCCTTGAGTATTTAAAACCAATTTGTTTCAATAACCAAAGAGGTTATTTTTTACCAATTCAGTGTGTTTAAGAGACAATTAGATTTAATGAGACCTTTCTCAAGCTAAACACACATTCAGCTGTTAATTTAGTCCCAAATATTTAGTTTCTCCAAAATATTAGTGCAGAAAATTCCCTGAAATGCATGTTAATTTGAAAAATGAAGGAGAATAAAAATTAGTAATTAGGAATGAGCATATGTGAAATAAGTGAATCCCTAGTAGGTAACTATTTTTTGTATATAATCCAAATGTATATTGCAAAGCCATAAGATATGCATACTTCATCTTTTATTACGACTTTCATGAAGATCAAATCACTTTTTAAATATAAAATGGACCTTTGTCCCATTCGTAGTGTATGGTATGGGGGGTATACTCCAGTATAGGGGGTTCACAAATTTTATTTTGAAACTTCAACTATTGTTCTTTATAATCACTGTTTTTATTATTTTTGGTAAATACTGTTGTTTTTTGTTCTATTTTTCAAGTCCTGTAAAGCACTTTGAAACACTACTCTACAAACAATGAACAGGCAGATGATGATGATGATTAATTATTGGTTGTTATTATTCAAGGTAAAGCCCCTTGGAAGATTTAGAAGACTGATTTAGAGATGCATGAAGGGTCTGAATTATTAAAATTGAATATTAATGGTAAGTGTGTTCTACAGTATATTTGTTTTTCTTCAAGAAACCACTGCAGATTTAACTGCTCAAAAATTGAGCACCTGGATAGCTTTTACATTTATCAATTACTTAATTACCAAATGTTTTTATTTAAAGAATTTCACTGTGGTCCCAATAAATACCACATACACTCTTGTGTATGTCAGAAGACAGAACAACTTTTCAGAAATCCTCATGAAAGGCATTTTAAATTTGATGACATTTGGTGGTGTAGTATCTCAAAGTAAACATGGAATATATGTCCAGGAAAGATGGTAGAAAACAATCCTGATTAGTTAGAAATAATCTGCTTTTGATTTTTGTTAAATTCTGTCTTGGGTTTCTTTTCCACGTTACCATGGGAACTGTGCTGACAATGGCAGACTCCCTTCCTAGGCGTGGGACAGTGAGTTCTTGTTCCTGACAAGCCTCTTTCTTGTAGTATTAAGTACTACAGTGTCAGAGCAAGGGACATATCCCTGTGTTGTAAACATATTTTGGACAAAACCGTAAAACAACAGAGTTATTAAGTTCAATGAAAAATGTACACTGGTATTTTTTACAAAGTGACCTTATTGTACACAAAACACTCTTATAGGAAGGCACTTCATAATACGAACATGAACATACATTTTTATTCATGATTTAGCATTTCTTTTTTTTCCAACATTCTTTTATAGATCAAGCACTGCCAGTAACATAAAAACCGTTTTAATGGTTTTAGAACGCACTTACTTCTTATGCATTGTAATGAGATCTGAGGTAGTAGTTTCTTTTTTATGTAGCTTTTATGAAATAATTATTGTCCTTAGAAAAATAAAGAAAGTTACAAAATATAGTATACAAGTAGTTTGTAAATGTGGTTTATTTTTTAAACTAAAATGCATTTTTTTTTCCAGTCCAGAATTTACCGTGTGTGCGTGTGGAATTTTGGATCTGCCCAATGGGGACGTCACAGAGATGTAATCAGTATTCAGGGTTTGCAGTATGCAATGAATACCAACTGGAAGCCGTTACTGTCCATCTTGTGAGATAATACATCTGCCTCTGAAGCCAGAATTTATTTTTCACTTTTCAAACTGCCAGCTAGGCTCACTGCTTCAACTCTGTCACAGCTAGACCTGCAATGTTGAAAACAGCTGGCATACATCCTTGGGAACTTCTGTTGCCAGGATATTTGTCTCATTTCTGTACCGAATGCAAACAGCAGGGCTCCTGTGTCATATGGAGGGTTTTTAAAGCTGTTGGCTGCTGCATGGTTAACATATGACATCTCCCTGCCAATTGTATGCTTCTCTGTATAGCTTCCAACCAAAGCTTGCTACAGGTATAATTCAGGCTACAGCACATGCCCTGTATTCTAAGCAGAAAGATTTTTCAGAAATTTGTATTGTCGGTTTTGCAGTTTTACACCTTCCCCAGTTTGGAATTGCTTATCCTGCCCTCAACTTCTGCAGTCCCTGAGCTGAACAGAGAGAAGTCGCCTAATGAGTCTGGCCAAGATGACCAACATAGCATTATTTTGTTTGCATTTATTACCTGTTGTAAGAATAGTAATTTTTGTCTCCTGAATTAAATAGGCTTTATATGGTTGTCATATTTCTTTTTTGAAAATCAAAGTGCATATTAAAAAGTTACATGATGGCTTTCAGTGTATGTTTTTGTCTCATCAGAATACCATTTCCTACAGATGTATGTATTGTGTAAAGAAACATATAAAGGCTGGAACCAGATCAGATTCCTATCAAGTACAAGGTGATATAATATGGGCTTACATTTTTTTAAATAAAGTAATTTTCATCTTGTGGATTTGAGGATGATGTGCTGTGTAATGGGAGTTTGTTTAAATTGAACAATGTTTCTATTTAACAACAACAAAAAATCCCAATACACATTAGCTCCTTTTAGCTGCTGCATCTTGGATCATCTTGTACACAGTTTATTGGGAAGGTCTTGTGACTAGTGCTGATTCATAAAGTGGTCACAAGGGGGAGTAAAACACTTTGTCAGTGTGTTTGAAGTCTTGGTAAAATGATTTTTTTCTTTACATTTAAGTTATTTGCTGCAGGATGCTTTTCACATACAATAATGAACAGTTATCATGTTTAAAATACATTTTTGAATTTTTTGATTTTATTGAATAGTTTTCTTAAACTGTTAATGTAATATTACGTTACCCTGGCAGAACAAAATAAGCACTTGCATCATATGTCCAAGATGTTTCAGGGAGTTTATTGACCAATAAATGCATAATACCACTATACTTTTTATCTGCTGGAATGTGGAGAATTATGAATGAATAATTCATGTGAGGCAGGATTATAGAGGAAATATACAGGTATATTGAACCAAGTGTTTGGAGAAGTAGCCACTATAATGCAGTCTTCTAAACTTAAGTTCCATCTGCATGTTCCTGTAAAGTAATGACATTCTCAGGAATAAAAAAAAAATGAGAACACTTGGCTTTATGTGTGATAAGGGTCAGTTGTGGGTGATTACCTTGCCTCTCAGGGTATTTAAGGGTGTGGCATGCTCAGGCTTTTGTCTTTTGTTAGGAAAACCTGAAGCTCCTGTTTAAGCTCCTAAAAAAGGAAGAAACAAAGATGTGAGAGTGAGTTAACGTCTCCAAAGGTGGAGCCAGGTTAAATTGTTACTGACATTATTAGGAGCTATCAAATGCTGGAAGTCTCACAGTAACAGACTGCTTAGGGTGCAGCAATTATCAAGGATTTTTTCCCTGCGTTAGATGGGGAGAGGATGGTATGATGGCTAAGTGGTTTAGAAAACCTGGGGTGTTATCTGTGTGGGTTTTATGTTCTCCTCGTGTTCGGATGGGTCTTTTCCCACAGCCCAAAGACATACAGAAGGCTAATTGGCCCTGGTGTGTGTTCCCTGCAATGGACTGTCCCCATTGCTTGCCAAGATAGGCTTCTGCTCCCCCATGACCCCATGACTTGGCTAGAAAATGAATGATAAGATAGATGGGAAGACACAAGTCAATGATTCCAGCCACTGGTAATGTGGCACTTCTGATCTGTTTCATCATTCTTTAATATTCATACTTGCTCTGATTCTGGGCCCAGATATATATTATATATTATATATTATATATTGTAAGTGGGTAGCTGCGTCAGCATGCGTAGGCTGCAAAGGAACAAGTAATAGGTTTATTCCATGCTGAAAAAAAGAAGAAAGAGAACACAACGTGCACACCTGAAGAAGGCTCCACGGCCGAAACGTGTTCTCTTTCTTCTTTTTTTCAGTATGGAATAAACCTATTACTTGTTCCTATTATATATTGTATATTATTTGGGTGTGTCTGTGAAGACAATCGCTTTCTTTTTCATGTGAAGCTATTTAATGAGCAAGCCTTGCCACCATTACGCCAACTTAAGTACGTCATGCTTAATGCATGAGATACAGTACAAGTGTTCATTTTAATCTGCTGAGGCATTATATGCAGTTGTGGGTTGGCAGTTTCTATATAATGCATATTAAAATGGGTAGAGGTATACCTAATACACATTTTGCAATTATGTTGTGGAACGATACAACGGTGTAGCTATTTATTTTTTCTATAATTGCGTAATTCTTTATGATGGGGTTGTAAACCAGTCCATTTTTTACCTTTGGGTTGACCTTCATTACAGTGCTGAAAACAAACTGGGAGATTTATTAAAGCTAAGCAAGAGCTGTTTCAGTTCTTCTTCCTTGGAAACACTTCTGTAAGTTGTTGAACAATGGTAAAGTTTGTTTTCCTGTCCCTGTTTAGATAATGGATGAGCTGTCTCTTTAACCCCAGGGCTCATAAACATCTTTACTTTCCCTAATAAACAGGGTGAACTAGATATGGTTCCTCCCTGGCAGAGTTCTTGTATCTGTTTTACAGTTGTGATGTGTTAAGCTTGAGTGACTTTCCTGAAATGTTATGTCCTGGGCATTCTTTGTTTGATTGGTATCCCATGTGAAATAATTTTATGGTGGCTGGGAGAGAGTTGAAGCTACCCCTTAATAAGCAAAATGTTCTATTATGAAAGTGTGGTCACATTCCACACATTCCCTTTTTTTCAAATGGGTGTTTCAGTGACTTATTAGTTTATTGTTGTTTTGTAAGTTTCTACCTGTCCTTGTACTGTAGCACTGGTTAATTAGACATTTCAAACACATCTCTTACATCCTGACAGTTTATTGGGTTTATATGGGTTTATTTACATTACCCATTAAATTTAGATTTTTAAATTAGTGCTGAAGTCCTGGATGGATGGCTGATTTGGATAAAAGAGACAAAGGTACTCATGTCCTTGTCTATATCTTAGAAATATAATAATATATTAATAATAAACTTTATTTTATATAGTGCCTTTAAAGGTGGCTTCTCAAAGCGCTTTACAGGATGACAACAACAATAAAGAAGAATACAACAATAAATAAGAAGAATACACAAGATAAGACACAATTACAATTACAACAATACAACAATAACAATAGAGGAGACCGTGGAAGGTGGTACTAAGAAGAGCAGAGGGGTGAAGAATGGAACCAGTTAAGTAAAGGCTTTTCTGAAGAAGAGGGTTTTGAGTCTGGATTTGAAGGAGTTTAGAGAAGGTGACTCTCTGGCATCCTTGGGCAAAGAGTTCCAGAGCTTGGGGACTCAATGTAGATGGGCTTGGGGGACAGTAAGGAGAGCAAAATTAGAAGAGTGAAGGTTGCGAGGTGGGGAGTAGGGCGATAATAGTTCAGACGGGTATTGAGGTGCCAAGCCATGCAGAGCCTTATAGGTGAGCATGAGGATTTTAAAGTGTACGCGGAATTTGACTGAAAGCCGGTACAAGGACTCCAGGATAGGAGTAATGTGAACACTTGCACTAGACCTGGTCAGGATTCTGGCTGCTGAATTTTTGACGTACTGCAGTTTGTTCAGGGTAGATTTAGATACCCCAGCGAGTAGAGCATTGCAGTAGTCAATTCGAGAGAACACAAATATGTTGATCAGCTTTTCAGCCACAGTTAATGATAGCATAGGGCATAGTCTTGCGATATTTCTAAGGTGAAAAAAAGATGTTTTGACAGTATGCTGCACAAGTGGGTCAAATATTAAGACAGAATCCAGCCAGAATATTCTCCTAATTTCATTTTACATTTCTTGGTACTTTTCTGAATTGGAACATATGCTTACAGGATGCACTAGTATATTCAGCAGATTAACCTTTCTCATACAAAATGGTTGTCATGAATGTGGTGTCAGGTATGTGACTGTGGTATGAGGAAGGCAAAGCTATGAGTCTTCCATTGATCCATACAATTTCATGGTCAGGATAAGCACCAGCCTATTCTGGAGGGATTAGACATAATGCAAGACTTGGAGGACGCAACTCTTCTCACCACCTGGACAAGCCAGCAGTCCAACACGGGCATTTTGAGTCCTTATTTATTTTAGAAAAATATTTTTGGGGTATGTATATCCTGTTTTAGTATAGAGCACTTTGTGCAGTACCTTCAGAGAAAATAAATTATATATATATATTATACAAGACCAGCCCCCCTTAAGAATGTCTCATCTTGATACCAACTTTTTTTCCATTTTATGTATGGTCTTCTGTTAATGGTGTGAACTATATGCTGATGTCAGTAATATATTTGTGCCATAACATGCACAAACAGCTACAGTATATGCAGTTGCACTGTCTTGTATATTATGCAGGGAAATGTAAGGAAATTCTAAAAATCCACTGTTCTAGGGATTATTATTGTAACGTACAGGTTCTCTTTAAATCCTGCCTCATAAGATTGTGTGGCTTAGTAAACCTAACCTTGACCAATGGTAGGATTTTCATGTTATGCAGATACTTCAGATGTTTTGTTAAATCAAATGTGATCCCTGATACATTGAGTAACACATTTGTTTGCATTTTATAGTTTAGCCTACTATAAGATTTACAATAACTGGAAAATAGTCACAGTCAGATTTCATTTAGGTAATACACTAAATGTTTTTTTTATCATTTTAAGGTGGAATGTCATGATCAGAAAAAAAATCACATTAAAAAATCTGTGAAAGAATTCAGATATTCATTTTTTTAATGGATACAAATGAGACTAAATTCATTTGCCATATGCATTTGAACACGTTGTTTTCCTTAAAAAAAGAACATTTTCACATCATTATACTGCAGAGAAATTAAAATTAAAGAGTGTTCCATTAATATTTAAATGTTTGCCCATTTAACTTTAACATTTAACATTACGAATGAAAAGGCTCTTCCTTCCTTTAGAGTATATGCAGGGTCTTTTACAGGTCCTTTAAAACCTTTTCCGGAATCCAGAAAGCAGCTTGAAATTCAGTTGTGCTGTTTTATTTAATTTAAAAACTCAGCTGTGACATATTTCTCATTCAGATGTCTAGACATACTGTTAGGTACACTAGAGGCAGGAAAGAACCTAACAATTTCCCAAGATCAAGCACTGAGCTAGCTGAGCTTGATTTTCAATAAGGTGGAATCAGACTGTAGGTGAAAAGTGGAAAGCAAGGGTTTTATTATCATTTAGTTGTGAAATAAGAAAACCTTCAGATGTGATTTAATGAAAAACATATGTGTGTACAGTACATCATTGTTAAACATTTCCATTCCTAATAAAAGCCAATAAGAAAATGTCACACTTCAGTGTTTTTCAAGATATACCCTAAATTATTGATCTTTTAAATGCTGCTATTTTAACAACATACAAGAAAAATGTTCAGAACATGACATTAGTCATTTCAATTAATCAAATAAAAAAACATCCATGCTAGAGCCTACAGACTCATTAGGATGACATTTCTCCGGGCTTCTGTAGATAGAAGAGAACTGAAAGTACATGATTTCCCCTGGGTGTAAACAGAAATATATTAATTGTGCTCTATTTTTGCCTTTAAAGTGGTTACAAAATGCAAGAAACTGGATTTAGCTAGCTATCATTATGTCATCCCAGGGATGCTTAAACTAGTGAAAAGGTTTGTGTGCAGTTCTTGTCTTATGCACTAAAAATGACCCCATGAATGCTACCAGGATTTAACCTTAAGTGCTTAACAGTGCAGCTGCAATAGATATCCTCCAAAATAAATGTACTTCACAGCCACAGTGAAAATTACAGTAAATATATAACCTTTCTGTCTGGCTGTGCCGCCTGTGAGTGGCTGTGAGTGGTAAGTGGATTACTGCACTTGAAAAAAAATCTCCTCAATAGCAGAAATATTGAGTTAAATTATCACAAATCACAAGGTTATTACACTATTGTGCATGGCATTTTTATTTGTCTCCTGGTATTGTACTTAACACTTGGTAGTTGTCATAAAATTAAGCAATCAGATTTTCTTTTAGCTTTATTTATTGTGCAATGCAGAGAGAGTAAACTACATATTTATGTGTAAGGCTTGTGAAAAATACCGGAACAGACTGAAGAATTGTGTCAAAACATTTTCAGTTTACCCAGTAATATTACTTTAAGTGGTAGTGCAGTTGACACTTCAGTGTCATATGTTAAAAATGTGCATTAGTTTGCTTCAGATTCTCTATGAAACCTAAAAATAAATACCAGGTCAGTAATTTCACAGTAATAATGCAAATCATTCAAATCTCATGAAACTATAAACATGAACACGTGTTCTAAAATAGTTATGTCATGAATTGTAATCCTGTGTTAACACAGGAATAATATATTTGGTTGTGACATAATCTGCAATAGTACTTTCTTTTCCAATTTGAAGAAAACCCAAATATAAGGATTTTATAAAGGAGCATGATCATTTTATCTGACTGGACTGGATCACTGAATATGCAATAACAGACAAACCTGAATTTCATGAATACACTGCATGCAGCATAACACTGTACAAAACATCATAGCACCATATCATCACAGTTAAAACAATACTGAAAGAAAAGCAATAAATAAACCAAACAAATCAAATTACAGTGTCATCACAATGACTAAGGTGTCAGTCATCTGGAACTTGGATACATATTTTATGCAATACTTACTAAGTGTCATTATTAATTTGCCTTTAAAGAATATACTATAAGAATGTAAGAATGGTTACAAACAATAGAGGACCATTCATCCATTCATAGCTATCAACTATTAACTGATTGATAGCTGGTAGCTAATAGAGCCAATTGATCTCATTTAACTATTTTGAAAGAAGCCAGGTATTCGTTTTTGATGACATAGCTTGTTTCACACTTTAAACCCTTTGTTAATTAACATGTAAGAATTTTTCTTTTAATTTTGCCAAAGCAGAATCTGCGTACAAAATACATAACTTCATCTTAGGTATAAAGAAAGAACATGAGAGTGGTGGGTTCACTTTATGGATTTTTCATTTTAAATATATTGGTCCCTTAAAAGCAAAGAGGTTCTGTATTTTATACAAAGAAGAGGAATATCACAAGAACTCTAAAATGTCTGTAAATGTCTTTAGATTTTTTTTTTATCTCCGATGTGCCGTAAGCTGAGTTGTGGTAACGTAGACACTTTCCTGGGTGCCGTTAGGATGTGTTTCAGAGGTTGGTCACTCGTTTGATCCAGGGCAGAAAGGCTGATACTTTAGTGTAGACACCAGGTGAGTCCTGTAACCTGCAGGCATGCCCCCAGGATGTCACACCATACACCACCCAAGCTCCTCCAGGCCTTTCGCATACAAGAGGTCCCCCACTGTCCCCTCGACAACTGTCCACCCATTTGTCTTCCTGTGTGTTGCCAGCGCAGAGCATCCTGCTTGTGAACTGGCTCAGGTAGCGTTCCTCGCAGTACCTCTTGTGAAGCACAGAAATGGCCGCCTGCTGAAGGGTTTTGGAATATGTTCTTCCTGTGAATATAAAGAAGCCAAATTCAAGTTCAAATACAGTACCCAACAACTAAAGAAATACCCTACAGAGAATTTGGGAAGATTCCCTTAACACCGTAATCAAAGCACAGTGTGTTATGGATGCCTTGTATGTTCCTCAAAAGCATTCAAACAGAAGCTTCTAGGTGCTTGTAGCCTATTTTTACTCTTATCTGTTATTTCTTATATACTTTCTTTTCAAAGACAGAATGCCAGATCCCTGTGGAATGTTCAATTGCTGAAGCTATTTCTTTACTATAGACCATTTTTTTTACCTTTTCTGTTTTCTCATTGTCTATCTACAGTACATACGTAGTGTGTTTAAAGTGTAGTCTCCCTTGATTAGCTACAAACAAAAAAGTAATGAAAAGTAAATGTCAGTTAGATACTCTGTTAGTGCTAGTATTGCCTACTAAACCATGCAGTTGTTTTTGTTTATCTCACCTATTACCTATTTACCTATTACTTAAAAGTGTCTTCAATAAATTTGCCTTATTATGAAGAAAATTACAAAAGAATCATATCAGACGCACTAACATTTTATTAAGCTTACATAACAATTAACATTGATTAACATTTGTCACTAGGTGTTGATCTAAGTGAGCTCTACTGTGTTTAAAGGTTGATTTGTTGCTAGTAAGTAGCTTGTAGCTGAAAATTTAAGTAATGTATGAAATCCCAGGTCCACTCAGCCTGCTTTCCAAATGAGTACCTGGGGTTGATCCTTCTGTGGTTAATAGGCCGGCCGGAGTGCGATGCTGAGCACATCACCTCCACTTCCAATGTCGGATGGTTGAGAAAAATGTTGGCCCTTGCCCCCTATTCCCCCATGGGGCTTTATGGCCTGAAAAGGGAACCTTACCTACCTACCGTGTAAGCTGAAAATGACCCTGGTGGCCAACCCCAGTGTTATCTGACCAGTTGTCCCCTTCCAGTGGGAGAAGTATGGCGACCAGTGAAGTCTCATAGTTGAACCAGTAATGTCTGGAATATAGGGTTCAACTGGCAATCCAAAAGAAGATAAACTTTATGTATGATTAAAGATGAAGCTGCGTGGAAGTGCATTTATAACGAGAAATATGAGGCACTTCTTTCACCAAAGAATAGTGGGTTACCCAACCTTTTGAAGACAAAACCCTGGCTTCTTTGAAGATGTGGCTGGATGAGGACTTTGGCTCAATCTACTACCAACTACCAAACACACTTCTCATTCATAACCATCCAATGTTCTTAGGATAATTTACTTTAATTTTTTCTTAAAGAGCAGGAAGCGACATTTAGTTTAAAACTGAAAATATATTTTTTCTGCAGATGCAGAGCTAAAATTTACAGAATAGTCATACAATCACTAAGGCCTTAGATCATCTGCAAATACAAAGAAAAACTAAAATCAGTTTATCTGTGGGACCCCTCTAATATGGAAACAAAGGGCCAAATAAGTACTTTTTCCTGAAACAGAAAGCAGCTGTGAAAATACTACAGACAACTCAGCTTAATGAGTGTAAAGAGATCTCCTTAATGTGGAGTTGGAAAAATATCTGTCATAGTCATTTATCTATCCTAAATGACAAGAACATGACTGATGAAGAAACTGAGTAAATAATATCAGTTTCTCTTGAGAATCAATCATGAAGGAGCTGAAAGTGAAGTATTAAAGAGAAAATAATAAGGAGATAAAAGTGCAGCTGGCCTAACAGCCTTCTGCTCACAACACACTGCTACATTCTAATGAGGCCAATCCCAAGACATGAAAGGTTCGTACCAGGTTATTAAGTTACAAAATTCAATTTCCTCTGCTGTGCCTGGCAGGTTCCAGTTTAAAGGTTTATTTGTTTCCATATCACCTGAATTATATGTACTGAACTTCACTTATAGGTCACTTTTTATTTCTCTTGTTAATTACATGTGAAAAGGGCACTGTAATTATTTTGCATACAATATCATGTATAGAATAAACAATATGCTTGTATATCATATTAAGATTTGTGGAACATTATGTGTAATTATTGCCGGTTTAACGTGTCTGTCAGGTCATGAATTCAGCATAGTTAATACATTTTTGGGGTTGTGTTTTATGTGGATAAATAGAGCATTAAAGTTGAATTGCCAGGTTCTACTGAATCAAAGCCCTTGGGGACAAAGAGCTGACATTTGGCCAAAAGTCAAGGACTGGTGCTGACTGATTGCTGGTTAGATTAAAAGCACTTTTATTATTCCATTGTTAGTGCTTTCAACAAATAGATGATAGATGCTGTAAACAGACAAGAAAGGCAATGTGACCGATCACCGTTATTGTTGTGTTCTTTGTTACTCAATTAGTAACTTTGAATACTTGGATTAATACTATTTTTTTCATTTCTTAAATACATTTGCACCCTGTAGCTGCATCAACCAAAGGAAAATGCTCACAACTTCAACAGTCATCCTACAGAAGCTGCTTATAAAGCCTACAATTAATGTCTGTGAAAAGATAACTCAACAAAGTTGTTTCCTTCATTTTAAATTGTCAGAACAGGAAATTAAAGCTGATAATTTGGCAGAACATGGACATGGATTAACAAGTCCTGAACTAAACAAATACAAATGAATACACAGCTGTGTGCATTCTTAACCAACATACTGTAAATGCAGTTCACTCTACTGTTATCTCAATGGTATGTCTTCTTAGACATGTCTTTTTTTAAAACCCATAAATAAAGAAAAGATTCACTAAACCATCTTAATTGATTGCTCTCAACATAACTATCAAGCTAATAATTTGGAGCAGAACAGAAAAATGACATACAGTAAGAGGGAACCCAGGGAATCACTTTGAGGGTAGTATAGACTTTTAAGTATAATTGTGGTACTTTATAAAAGTGAGGCTGCTGTTAGTCTTTCCTAATTTAAACTATCAGCCAGGTTTAAAAGGAACTCTTGATCATGAGAAATAACAATAACAAGGAAATTATGTTAATAAAAGACCAATTTAAAGCTTTTTTCTCTGTGTATGAAAGCTACATGAATGCTCAAATATAAAACATGCACAGTAAAACATTTAAGAGTTGTTTGCTTGTTTTCTGTTTAGTAGACCAAGAAAAAATAAATCTGACTCCCACAACAAGAGTGCTGTTATCTTAGGTTTATGCTCACCTGTATCCCCCCATCCAGTGATAAAGCAGTTTGAGGCCACCTTGAGAACCTTCTCTCTCCTCAGGGGCAAGCAAGCTGGCAGCACATGGCTGCTGAATGACACGCACTTCCCGCTGTGCCCCACCAGCTGCACCAAAGCCAAATCGTAGTCATTGGTGCTGGGTCTATAATTGTTGTGAGGGACAATCTGCTCAATCCCATATTCTGCTTCATACTCCTCTGGCACCAGCGTATGATAGTCTCCCACTCTGACTTTATAGGTCTTTGTGCTGTTTCCATACCTGTAACACACAGAAAGCTGCTACAGTTTCTGAAAGTATATGTAAGAAACTCTGAATAATATTTTAAATTGAAGTTTTGCTTTGTTTGAATTTCAGTAAAATGAAATACTAAAAAGGAGCATTGTAATATATACTTCTTTAATGTGTATACCGTATATACTAATCTTTATATAGGTTTAATGTGTATATGTATTGTATACTGAACATCATTTATAACTGTAAGAAATTCACAATGTTATTATTGGGTAAATGACAAAATTGTTGCACATTTTTTTGAACAGACATTACAGGTATTTATTATTCCTTACTAGGCATGATAACTCAGTATCATTGAAACAAGTAAAGGTTTATTCCATGCTGAAAAGAGAAGAAAAGAAACGTTTCAGCTGTGGAGCCTTCTTTGGGTCTTTTATTTTATTTTCAGAATGGAATAAACCTTTACTTGTTCCTTAGCAGCCTACGCATGCTAACACAGCCACCTGCTTGAACTACAGTACATCATTACCATTGTCATGGAGAGAAAGACACCAAGAGTCTCTTTATACAACACAGACATGATTAAAATGCTCCACATATGGTAAGCATACCTGCCCTTGCAGAAATGCACTTTATCAGAGAAAACAATGTTATAATATAGAATTTGCTTCCAGCTGCAACAGAGCAATGACAATTGCATCTGGTTTTATTGATAGTATTATTGGTACTTAGCACTGAGACTCTACATTTTGATGTGTTCCAGAGGGATTATCAAGATATAATACAGCTTGGCAGAATTTCACTATTCGGCTGCTGTGATATCCCTTGTAGGTGATCATTTCTAGGAGAGTTCTAGGAGAGTAAAACCGATGGTTTTGGACCAGTTGATGAAACAGTACAATGATTAATGCCAAAAGATTGAGCTCCCTTAAATTGGTTCAGCCCTGTGTCTGTTCTCAGTGGAACTATTTCCAGAGCTCTGGAACTCTTTACCCAAGGATATTAGAGAGTCACCTTCTCTAAACTCCTTCAAATCCAGACTCAAAACTTTCTTCTTCAGTAAAGCCTTTACTTAACTGGTTCCATTCTTCACCCCTCTGCTCTTCTTAATACCATCTTCCACGGTCTCCTCTATTGTTATTGTTGTATTGTTGTAATTATAATTGTGTCCTGTCTTGTGAAATTTTCTTATTTATTGTTGTAGTCTTCTTATTTATTGTTATTGTCATCCTGTAAAGCGCTTTGAGAAGCCACCTTTAAAGGCGCTATATAAAATAAAGTTTATTATTATTATTATTATTAACTATTTGGCAGGCATTGGTATTTTTAACTTTAAATATTTGCTTCACAGTTATGACCAGGCTATGCAATGTGCTTTAGCTCTTAAATATTCATGTCTTTCAATGCTAGTTGTTTATAACTAATACCAGCTCAAATTCTGTATTCTGTATATCTAAGTAGTACATGTTAATCAAATACTGAACTATTACTCATATATTCTGGACTGAAACTTCATAAATTTGTGTTGTAATTCAAGTAATAATTTTCTGGACACTCCACTCAAAGCGCTTTACAGGTAATGGGGACCCCCCTCCACCACCACCAATGTGCAGCCCCACCTGGATGATGTGACGGCAGCCATAGTGTGCCAGAACACTCACCACACATCAGCTATCAGTGGGGAGATGAGCAGAGTAATGAAACCAATTCATAGACGGGGATTATTAGGAGGCCATGATTGGTAAGGGCCAATGGAAATTTTGGTAAGGACGCCAGGGTTACACCCCTACTCTTTTCAAGAAACGCCCTGGGATTTTTAATGACCAAAGAGAGAGTCAGGACCTCGGTTTTGTGTCTCATCCGAAGGACGGCGCCCGTTTACAGTATAGTGTCCCTGTCACTATACTGGGGCATCAGTACCCAAATGGACCGCAGGCACCCCCTTTGGCCCCACTAACACCTCTTCCAGCAGCAGCCTTAGTTTTTCCCAGGAGGTCTCCAATCCAGCTACTGACCAGGCTCACACATGCTTAGCTTCAGTGGGTTGCCAGTTGTAAGTACCTGTACAGTATATAGAATACTTTATCCATCATTTAGTTATTAATTTATACAGTACACCTTATACCACGTAGCCATTCCATGCAGTGTATTTATTGGGACAGTATCCATGCAATACAGAATTTGCTGTCGTATATTGAGGTGATATGAAATTTATGATTTTCATGTTATTCTGGACACAACACAGAATAGTCTGTGGTTTACTTCTGAATGAAATGTAATTATGCAAGTACTTTCGTCTGAAGGCACACAAGATAAATCTTGAGATAAAGCTTAATACTGCAACATTTCCACTGTGTGCTGCACTGTATTCTTTACCAGAATGGAAGGGTTCGAGTTTGGGTCACGTCTGTAGTAATTGTGACAGAGCCTGGGATTCCCCAAACAGCAGCCACAATTGACTGAGGTCCACTAAATTAGGTGGAATTAATTGGTCAAGCCTCTCTCAGCTCTCAGAGACACAGTGACCCCTCTGTCTCCCAGGCACTTGCAGGAATGTGGTGTTGTCATTGAGAGATGTGCCTCTTTTTCAATCAACAATGAACCTCCAGTATGGAGCTGTGTTGCCTGTGATGTGTTAAAGGTCAAGGGGCTCAAAGACGGGTGTCACAGGAGTCTGCCTACACTTCTTCAATCTCCCCTGTGTCAGTTTCTAGCTTTCTAAAACAAAAAATAAATGTACATCGCTGGACAGATTAGTTTGAATATACAGAGTCATTAGAAACACAACAATTTATTTTTAGCTTCCAGACGTATAAATGCACAAACGATCAGTAAAAATAAAATAAAAATGGCCTTGACTTCCTTTCCAAATAATCGATTACAAACAACACCTTTGTCTTTTACATACAGTGTATTTGTACAGTAACACGCCCTATATGGTAAAATGGGTTGCAGACATACAGTATCAGTATGAATGTGATTTTGTAATGTTTATGTGTTGCTGTTAACAATGGTGACTATAGAAAGCCAGGGAAATTATGGCTGAACCAAATTGCCATGGCTGACACAAAGTAGGAAGGCGTGCTGAAGGCAATAATATCAATGTCTGCACTATTTAGTGCAGATCACATTGTCCAGTCCTGAATCCAACTCATGACCAGTAACAACCAAGTGCAACCACGAGGTCCATCATAGGGCAACATCAGTATGTCAAACTGAAGCATCTCTTGGATCGACATTGCCCTACATTCTCTATAGTCATCTCCCATAAAGTAAGACAGCATCTCTAGGTTGCTGTCTACAGTTCAATTCAGTCAATTCTGGCACATTGGTAAACAGAGTGTACCACGCACGCAAAATGAAGTATCCTTCACGTTGTGATGTGTTCATAAGTGAACCAATTCGAAGGTGAAAGTTTGATGGTATGTACTACACTATAGTATGGATAGAAATCACACTGAATGATTATTGATGACTCCTTGATTGAGCAACACTATAGAGTGTTCTCACCTCACACATTGCATCTTGGTGTAAACTTTTACATTCACATTTATGCATGGCAACACATGGCCATATACCTCATGCATTTGTCAGACATTCTTGGTAAGGTACATTGTTTGTGAGGTGAGCTGCACTGACCACCATATGCACCCTACACAACCCTCTGAAGTCTGTCTGGATGCACAAGAACGATGTGTGCACTTTTGGGATCCAGAAGCATGTACAATTGCTGAGCTGTGAGCAGCACGTCTTGCTGAGTGGAATATGATATCCTGCTCATGAATGTTCTTATAATGCTGATGCTACTTCAGGTGGGAGCATTGCTAGAAGCAAATGAGATACTGAACTTGTCAATTGAAAAATGCCCCCCCTTGGTACTTAACTTCCTTTGATTTGATAATGGGTTTGAGCATTAATGTGTCGTAAATGTTAGAGCAGTCGATTTGTGCAGTCAATGTTTTCTGCCTCAGACATAAATCAATCTGTATTTCATTCTTGTTTAGTAAGAATTGATGCTAAACTGATTTGTTGCATTTTTTGTGCCTCTCAGTATAAATCCATGGTGGGTTTCAGCATGTGTAATTATATTCTACACAAGACAGTACATGAAAAAGCAGATTTAAGTAGTAATTTAGATAATTTAGTAGTTTTCATGTATTTAGAAGACCATTCGACATTATACTGTTTATTAGGGTATACACTGTAGTTATAATATAAGAGACCAAGACTAAGTTAGTTTATTTCCTGATCACAATTCATCTATCTGAAAAATAAAACATGATACATCAAAAATAGTGACTGTTTCTGCCAGGAAAAGTATCTTGTTACACATTCATACTTCTTCCGGAAATAAATATGCATCTTGGAATCCAAACAACTTCCCACTGCTGGATGGCATTGCACCAGCAAACATTTTTATTTAGTACAGCCAGTGATGGTCTCAGATGACTGTATTAAAAAGCCTAAAGAATTACGAGCACACCGCACTAAAGAAATCATTCTGATTCTGACCTTCAAATCTGATTTCTTTCCAGCACTTGCCCTTTAGTTTTGCTAAACCAGTAAACAAGTACAGACTAACAAGTGCTCATGCAAAAGAAAAAAAAATCCCCTCAACCTGTTAAGCCTTACAACAACCTGGAGCTTATCCTGAAAACAGGGAGGAAAAGATGGAACAACTCCTTGGATGGGACTCCATTGCACTACAGGGCACCCACAGACACAAGCACAATATAAAAACACCAATTAATCTAACGAGCATGGAACATGGGAAGAAACTAGAGCAACTGAAAAACTTTAGCTGGTTATTTAGTATAGGTAGAAACATTAAATTATCTAGTACAAAACGATTAAGAGTGCATATGTGAGTTGTTGCTTTGATTCACTGAATATAGTCCATAATATACAGTATAATATAAAACTGAATATATTCAGACCTACCATATTTAATAGCTTAGTACTCTTATCTCAGTTGTTTTCCATTCATGTCCTCTACTGCAATTGACCAGGGTAATGTTAGAAAGAACATCTTCAGTCTTAGTTGTGAATAACTAAGCAATCACTTTTGAAATAAGGCAAAATCTCTAGGACTCTTAAATACACTAAAAACAATAATATCACACATTAGTTCACCATATTACATTTTAAATGTACATTCACCAGGAATAACAATACCCAGGATTTAAGCATATTGACAGGTTTATTGAGTGTTTTGGTCACCGTTTTGGTTTAACCTGCTTGACATTTGTAAAGGAAAAGACCAGGTAATAATAGTTATGGAGATTTAAGAAATTACTGCTGTGAAAAGGATTTTAAGGAACAGGCAAGGTAGAATCTTATACTTCCGTTATGCTTGGATAACGGCCAGTTAAAAGCATGATGCATAAAAATAATATGTCACCCGTTTAATATTTCCCTGTACATATAATACAGTATTGCTGTCATCAGTCTATTTATATAAACCTTCTGATGTACAAAACACATTGAACGTTGAAGCTTAATCATAGTCTGCAACCAAATGATTCAATTTGTTTATATCATGAAAAACCTTATTTTGTTTTTATTTTATTCAGCCCCTTTCATGATTTTGTTCTGAGATTGCACAAGTATAATAATACATTAAAAATATCAATGTACAGAGAGGAAGAAAGACTGGTAGATTTGATCATTATATACAATTGGGCACAGAAGGCAACAGTTGAAATTAATTCCAATATCATCTTGGCAGATGTTCTACTCAGACGCAAAGGTCATTATAAAATATGCAATATATTTTCAATGTAATTCACTTCACATGGCAAAAGCACTGAAACGTTTGCAACTCATTTAGTTAATGAGATGTTTAAAATACTCCATGTGCTCAACTATAGTCCCACATTACCCCATCTATGAATTGACTTAATTCTCTGCTCTCCTCCCCACTGATAGCTGATATGTGGTGAGCGTTCTGGCGCACTATGGCTGCCGTCGCATCATCCAGGTGGGGCTGCACATTGGTGGTGGT